CGGACATACCGTGGAGTCCCGATTCCCGGCACCCCTCAAGGACGGACAGCCATCTCCAGAGTGTTGCTTCTTTTGCTGCTGATGCTGCTGCTGATGCTGCTGCTGCTGCTGCTGCTGCTGATGATGATGGTGATGATTTTGATAAAAAACGATTCGAAGCCTCTCAATTATTTTGTAATACTTGATGTATAGATATAAGAATAATAACAACAGCTAGTTATACCTTCACACAAAACAAGCTCGGTGCAGCACCAATCACGGCAGGGGAACCCGACCCTCCACCATCGCCAGCTCACGAAGCATGTGAACTGGACGGTGACGGGCCGACCGAGCACCCCTGGCACACAACACAGCGGAACGTAGCAGCGCGAAAGACACCCGACAGGGATAGTAACCCATCAACGACGAATAGCTACCTCCCGAAGATTGAGATGTAAGGAGGCAAAGGCGGCTGAGGAAGGCCGTGGATGCCGGCGCAGCAGCCCCATTTACGGAAAACACCAAAGGTGCAAAGGCACCACGCTCAACATTCACTACTCTCTCCTGATATTGAAGTCTCTTAGCGCCCTCATGCTGCCGGAAGACCGCGTCCAGGCTTCTGGACGGATAGGAAGAAGCGTCAGGATTAAACACCCTTACATCAAAAAATGCATCTTGCCCACGCGTCCAGAAACCTCGAGCGCTCACATCAAGGCGAGCCTCGACAGAGGTGTTCGCCGACCTGGCCTGAAAAACCTCACCCTCGATAGGGGCGAGAGGTGGCTCTACAGAAACACTGGAGCAAACCTCGGTTAAGGCAACAGCGAACAGGTCTCGTAGTTCATTGTGTCGAATAGTTGGGGATCCACCAAAAGAACAATTCAAAGCATGGCTAGTGGAAAAACCCGCCCCACAAGCACATATAGCAGGGGTGTCACGCAGCGGCCAGTCATAGCGTAACGCAATGGCATCGCGAAAGTCTCCCTTGGATAATTCAAAACCATGCTCAGCAATAGGGAGCGCCGACAGCCAGGATGAAACACCTGGGCGACCCAGTTCTTCCACGCGACGATTAACTTCCAAAGACAGGTGCGATTGAAGAGCACGCAAGCGCTCTGCCTGTCGCTCACGCGCCACTTTACGACACTCCCGCTTGGCGCAAGCTACGGCGGATAAAACTCTATCAACCTCATCCGGACCATCATGACCATGATGATGATGATGATGATGATCTCTTGCCTCTCTCTTTGTAGAGAGAAGCCAGGATCTCAAATATCCTGTTGTCATGGGTATGTTGCGTACCCGCCTGTCGTTTTGCCTCTTGAGGTGGGCCATTGCTAGGCCTCCGCGGAATGTGCCGGCATAATTTCGGGAATTATCGGTGTGATTTTTAAAACGGGAATTATTGGCAATTTTTGTGGAATAATCGGTAAAATTTGAGCAATGCCCCCCTTTATTCAACATTTTTCCATTTATAACACCCTCATTTGTACCAAAAAGCTTGTGATCCTGAAGTTGATCGCCCGGTATTTCAAAAAAGAAAGAAAAAACTTCCAGCCGAGTTTCACGTGAACCGTGATTTTATTGCCCGTACAAGTGGCAACAACACCTGTACGCGGTACGGTATCTGCAAAAAAAGGGAAGAAAAAAGCATTATTCCCGTAGCTATGCAGAAGACGTTGCTTCAGTAACGTCTGGCGCTAGCCAGGGTCCACACAGCTTTAATTTGGTATTTGTTTGTGTGTTTGTTCGTTTGTTTGTTTGTGTCACGCCTGGCGCTATCCTGTATCTGTCCCGTATCTGTGACTACAAAGGCTTAGGCGGTGGTTACATGAGGCGTTTCAACCCGGGTTGAGTTCGACCCGGGTCAGATTTCAACCCGCCATGTGCATAAAATGAATGGCGCGTTTACATGACGCATTGCGCTTGACCCGGGCTGAAATTTCGCCCCGGGTTGATTTCAACCCTCCCCCCAAGGGGAGGGTTGAAATCAACCCGGGTCAAGAAAATCGTACAAACGTATTTCTGTGCGTATCTCGCGCCAGGTTTGAACGGCACTGCAGATGCAAATTTCGCGCGAACGGATTCACGTGACCATACTGGACTGTAGAAGTGGACTTTTGGCGGCATATCAGTATTTGACCCGGGTCAACTGTCTTCATGTAAACGCTCACCTCTTTTGTCTGTCGTACAGACTTTCAACCCGGGCTGAACTCGACCCGGGTTGAAATTTCTCATGTAAACACAGCCTAACAGGATTGTACATAACAGCTGGCCACAATATCTGCTGGCTCCCGTATCTGTCCCGTAGCTGGCCACAAACAGCTGGCCACAATATTCGTATGTATATGTATACGACTCCCTGATGTAGAGGGAGATTTGGTAAGAAATAGGGAGACGAGGAGGAAATAAAATTAGAATGGATTAGTTACGGAATAGGTGATAGGATGCGTCAGCAAAAACATACTTTGGAAGAGAGATCCCTCCGTCTTCAAAATAAGCGTGAACGGGCGATTCAGCGCCGGTCACAGGAAACGTCGGAGGGGAGATCCCGTCGACTCCAGAACGCCCGTGATCGGCAGAGTCAGCGCCGGTCCCAGGAAAGGCCGGAAGAGACATCCCGTCGAGTCCAGAACGCCCGTGATCGGCAGAGTCAGCGCCGGTCCCAGGAAACGTCAGGACAGACATCCCGTGAACGGGCGATTCAGCGCCGGTCACAGGAAACGTCGGAGGAGAGATCCCGTCGACTCCAGAACGCCCGTGATCGGCAGAGTCAGCGCCGGTCCCAGGAAACGCCGGAAGAGACATCCCGTCGAGTCCAGAACGCCCGTGATCGGCAGAGTCAGCGCCGGTCCCAGGAAACGTCAGGACAGACATCCCGTCGAGTCCAGAACGCCCGTGATCGGCAGAGTCAGCGCCGGTCCCAGGAAACGTCAGGACAGACATCCCGTCGACTCCAGAATGCCCGTGATCGGCAGAGTCAGCGCCGGTCCCAGGAAACGTCAGGACAGACATCCCGTCGACTCCAAAATAAGCGGGAACGGGTGATTCAGCGCCGGTCACAGGAAACGTCGGAAGAGATATCCCGTCGAGTCCAGAACGCCCGTGATCGGCAGAGTCAGTGCCGGTCCCAGGAAACGTCAGGACAGACATCCCGTCGACTCCAGAACGCCCGTGATCGGCAGAGTCAGCGCCTGTCACAGGAAACGTCGGACGACACAAATGCAAGAAATGAGCATAGGAGGCTTGATCGTGCTGATTCGCGTCGTGTTTCTGCAGCTGCGCACATGGAAACTGTGCGGTCTATGGTAGAGGAAATAAATCATGCAATGGTGTGCTCTTTGACGCGTGAAGAGTGCCAGCAGTATAGCCACCTATTGCAATCTTGCAGGGAAGATAACGTTGACGTAGCTCTGCTTTACTTTTATGCTGCCTCAGGTCATGGTCGTGGACCGTCTCGGACAGTACCTGATTCTTCTGTGAGAAAAGAACTGGCATCCATTATTCCAGCACCAGTTTCTACAGCCCTGCTAGCTGATCGTCTGGAAGCGTTCCAAGCGGAGTATAATTTAGAGAATGTTTGCCTGTGCGCTGCGTGTGGCTGCCGTGATATGGTGAAGTCACACAAGTATCGACTTCAGGACGAGGCGTTTATGAAATGCCTTCGACTGGATGATTCAGCCGCCGAAATGTACGAGCAGAGGCCAGAGATAGTAAGGGAAGTGATGAATGTATATCGCTCCCCTTCAGATGGAAATCTGTGCCACCTTCTCCCCGATCATTTAAATCAGGTTGAAGATGGTGCCACTGAAGTTATCATGTGTGCCGCTTGTAGCTCTACCTTGAAGAAGGGAATTGTGCCAAAATGTAGCTTGGCTAGTGGGTACGATTTCGGGAGGTTGGACATGCTGGAACCGTTGTCATTACTCGAGAAGATTGTGGTGTCGCCGTATCGAACGTTCGCAACTATTCTCAAGTTGAAACCTTCTCGTGGAGCCGCTGGAAGATCATCTCAGAGTTTCCTGGAGGGTCATGCAGTGATGTTCCGTCACGATGCTGTCGAGGCGACTGTTGCCATGTTTCCAAGGCACAGGTTCGTTTAAAATTTGAAATGCAACTTTTTTTATTAGTTTGTGCAGTTCGTTGGTAGTTGTGAGGTATGTAGTAGGTTTTTGACGATGTTTAAATTTGGTTCAAAAAGGTTTTTAACTATATATTTGTTTCGATTGTTTTGCTATGATTATAGGCTCGAAGATATATCTGAAGACTTTTCGATTATGTTCCTAGGATCTAGTGTACAATGGCGACAAAGGCGGTCTGACATACTAAGACGGGACGACCCGCACAGTGGTCTTCTGGCGTGTAGTGGGCGCAAGATAATGCAATGGCTCCGTGTGATGAGAGCTGCTGACCACTGCGCATATCGCCATTTGCCGGAAGATGCATTCAACTTGTCGTCGAGCATTATAGACGCTTTGGAGATTCTGCCAGAATTACTTGTGGACAATGCTCATTGCGCGGACAGTGCAATCGCAGCGGCGATAGACGACTACGGGCGCGCGCGATGACACAGCCAATGTAAGACCACATGGTGACGTGACTGATTTCGACGACACCTTGGGATTACCAGCTGTGGACGGTGTGCAGTCTGTTATGCTGACTTCTCGAGCCATGCAGCATGATGCTAGCGTGACATCTGAAGTGTTCAAAGTGTTAGAAAACACTGTTAATGGCACGGATGGTGAAGCTCAGGAGCCAGTGACAACAGATGGCACGTACCGGAATGCATCTTCTCAAACACGGAGGGACAGGTTATTGGAAGTCACCATCAGGACGGATACTAGTGAGATGATTAATGAATTTACTCACAACGCGTTCCTGTTAGGTTTCCCATACCTGTTCCCGCTGGGCATAGGAGAAAAAGATATTATGTCAACATCTATATCCAAAAGAGTTATGATGTGGCATGATGGTCGTTTCGGCAGGGACAACCGATTTTTGTTCTATCTATATGACCGAATTCGTCGTTGGAATGCTGCGCTCGGTGTTCATTTGAAGGTCAAAAATGATAGAGAGTCGGTTGATAAATTCAACCGGTTGATTTTGGATCCGTCAATCTCCGATAGAGTCACGCAAGCTGCAGCAAACCCGGCCAATAGAGACGCTAGATTGTTGATGAATTTACTGAAGCCGCTGTTGGTCGTGTCTGGAAGACGTGTTCCATTTGGTCCAGCCGAGAGGAACGACTCTATCAGCAAGATGTGCGCGATGGTGCATTATGCAGGGCTGCCAATTTGGTTCTGGACAGTGTCTCCAAGTGATATTGATAGCACGCCAGCCCTTCGTATTGCAGGTATTGAAGTGGAGTTTCAGTTGCCATCCCTGCAAGAACGCACAAACATCATTGCAGCCAATCCGGTTGCTGCAGCGCGAGGGTTTCAAGCGTTGATCAACTCTGTATTGCGGTGTTTATTTAATCAAGAACCGCAAGAGTCAACGCGTACATCGACGCTCCCTGGTCTACAAGAATGGGAATGTCTAATGTGTGGGGGAGAGTGCCTGGGTTACTTTGCGGTGACTGAAACCCAAGGTCGTGGTTCTCTGCATATGCATGATCAGTGGAAAAGTTCAGCAGTGCGGTGTAGGGCAGCAGCCGTGATAACAGACATGTATGTGGTCCATGCCTCGAGCCGGGTAGCTACATGTATAATTATCGTGAACCTTGCGACGCACCTGCTTCGCGTCATCCGACTCAACGATATTTAGCTGGCTATCGTTATTCGGGCTGTGCACCAGCCGGAATGTTGGGCCGGAAGTGTGCAAGACTTTCAGGCTTGAAAAATCTACGAACTCCCCTCGCAAGATACGTTCTTGCACAGCCTTGGGCACAGCTGGTGCAGGTGGCTGATCGGGTGGGTTACAGGAGATTGGCCTGGCGTAGTGGCGGCAGCAGCCGCATTGCCTTGGCCTTGGGTGAGGAGCGGCACAATGCTCTCCGATAATAATATAATGGCGGCCGACAAAGCCGACTACACCTCGTCCCGTACGAGAGCGCAGAGATCCGTTGAGCCCGCGTCACCTGAGCTGGCGGAGGAGGCATTGGTGAAAGTCGGGCTTCTGGGCTCGCGAGCCGTGTCCGCACTGTCATGTTGCTGGTTCTCCTGGCCGGAGCAGACCTCACTACCAAGGGCTGGCTGTGGCAGCAAACGGTCCTGTAAAATACTTTTACTGAGTTTCCTTTCGGATTCAAGCTGCGCTGAGAAGGCTCGCTGCGGAGGGCTTGGCAAGGCATTGCCTTGACAGTGTCGACAGTTAGGTCAGACGTACTGAAGAAATACAGTGTCGAGGTGACACTCGGGCTGGCAGCAAAGCTACGAAAGGAAAGCGGAAACACTGCTGAAGCGCGATCCGTTGTCTGGAAGAGCACAACAGGGCAAGCAAGATTTGTTTTTCTTTTCCGCAAAATGGGCTGGTGCCATTTGTGATTACGCAGCAAACAAAGCGCATGACGTCAGTCTTGAATGCAGTACAAAGCAATGCAGTGCAGTGTGTGCGCTAGTTCGGATTGTTGCTAACAAGTACTACTACTAGCACAGCTAGTACACCATTAATAGCATTATCGATTAAGCACCACTGACGACAAAACTCACCATTTTGCATCAACTACAATCAATTTTGAAACTTCAAAGAGAACAAAAATAATGGAAACATCGACTGCGCACAGGCACAAACTGATTCTGAAGGCTACTTGTCCAGCACAGTGAGTTCCGTGAAGCAACCGGAACGGAAGTTCGCAGGTACGAATCAGTGCGCGGTGCAGAGAAAAGAGCCGGGTGTCACATCTAGAGTACATCAGGTAGATCTACCGGGTACGCGTGGAGTGTGTATCCAGAGCATGAGCAACTCGCTGTGCGTGCTGCACTCGTTGATTGACACCTCCGTGCACGCGCGAATCGACTCGTACTCTGGTACATGTGCTGCACGCAGTAGAGTCATGTAGACACACTGCACCTGCCGGATATTTCGTCGTACCGTATACTGTATGTTGCACGAAAATGCTGTAGCGACTAGAAAAATCGTAATCGACTAGATTTTTTCGACTAATTAATCGACTAAACCACATAATCCTTTCACCCCTAGTGCGGACCTGTTCACTCTTCCATATTTTTCTTGCATAATGTCTGTGCGGTGTGTAAGAACCCTCGGCGACTCGGATCCCAATGTTGTGTTATGTGTTGCGTTTTTCTCTATTGGCTTCGACTTCGCGTGGTGCACAGAACCATCACTCTTCAGATACAGCAACCCCATCCACCGCCGCTCAACCTGAAAGCGGACCAGAACGTAAACCACCCACCCATCCGCGTCTGTCGCCAGAGGATGCTCGCCGCACCATCCAACGGCGCCGCAACATCCGGCAAGCCCGCTCTGTAGCTAGGTCACGGCGACGGGCAGCAGTCCGTCTCAAGCAGCGGGCCCGGGTGGTCCCTCCCCCGCCTACCACGCCTCCACCGCCACCGGTAAACCTGTCGGCCAGGTTCGACCAGTTGGGTCAAGAACCCGAACTGGTCTCCGAGGCCGAATGGTCGGATTAAAGGTAGAGTATTCATTTTGTGCATGTGGGTGTATGCCGAATGTGTGCATGTAGGTCTATGTATGTGCGTGTAGGTCTATGTATGTGCGTGTAGGTCTATATACAGTAAAACCTGTAACTAAAGACCACCGTGACTAGCGACCAGCCTGGTACTACCGACCACTTCACCAGGCACGGACGGTCTCATATTCAAAATGCACTGTGACTAGCGACTACCTGCTGAACGCGACCAGCGACCGCCCTTTCTTGCCCCAAAGACGATTATTGACCCGTAACTAGCGACCGCGACGTACGAAATCAAATGTTGCTCGAAGCTCCTTCTTGAAAATTTGCTGATTTTCCACGGTCCTGAAAGGACTCTTTCGATACTACAGCTGAACAAATGAACACAGGTCATTTTGACTGTGGAATCGGTGTGGACTGCACTACACCTGTCCAAATTTCAAGCTCTGTCAAGAATAAACACGATAGGAAACGTGATCGATGTTGCTACTCGGAGGAGAAGCGAAGACAGAGCGGCTCTGACACCCCAGTCATACAGACGAATCGACGATGGCATCAAGGAATCCAGAAACAAAGCAGCACCGCAAGGTCCTGATGCTGAAGGATCGCGTTCAAGCAATCGAGAAGTTACAACAAGGACAGTCGGTACGATTGATCACATGAACAAATTCGAAGCCCAGCGTAAAAACGAAACTTCTACAGGGAACGTTTGACTCCTGGCTCAGAAGTAGCAGCTGAATTTGATGTCTGCAAAAAGTAGTCTTCTCCTTCTGTCTCTCTCCGTCTCTGGTCTCTCTCTCCAAGTGTTGTTTGACCTGAAAAAGAATGGCAATGCGCAAGTCCTGGGGAATCGTAATAGCTGCATTTTGACATACATATCATATACGGGATCCATATATGGTCATGCAGTGCAAACCTCTAACTAAAGACCACCTGCCACTAAAGACCGCTTTTGCTGGCACCAAGGGGTGGTCGTTAGTTACAGGTTTTACTGTATGTGCGTGTAGGTCTATATATGTGCGTGTAGGTCTATATATGTGCGTGTAGGTCTATATATGTGCGTGTAGGTCTATATATGTGCGTGTAGGTCTATATATGTGCGTGGTTGTGTACATGTGTGTTTGTTACAATTTACAATTTGTTCAAAGACTAATTATTTTTATTCCATATTTGGATCACTCACCTGCATGCGTTAGTTTATACACATCTCATAACCCCCATATTTGTCCCATTTTCCCACTACCCCTGCATGCAACAGTTTATACACATTTCATAACCCCTCAATGTGCGGAGAGAACTGTTTCGTCCTTCGTATCCTATTTTTATCGCTCTCTTTTTTTCTCCTTATTTTCCCCCAACCCTCCTTCCCTGTAACATAATAACATATTCGCTGCCTTGTCATTGAACATCTGTGCTCGTTTTGATTAGCGAATTCAAATAAAGTATACAAACAAACAAACAATGTAGTGGAGGGGAGAGGAAACAGGGACCAGTGTCACTGGGCAGGAGGTAAAATTGAGGACGTCGCGCACTCTTAGATAGAACTATGTTGAACTTATTGAGAGTTTCCTGGTATTTGTGGGTGAAATGGTAAAACGGTTTGATTGATTTTATTTGGATTCGCGAGACCAAACGAGCAGGAGTGCTCAATAACAGGGTAGCGAATGGTTGAGTTGTGCTATGTGACAATGTAGTGTGTGCGTGGGGTGGTGGTCGTGGGGGGGGGGGGGGGGTTAAGCTGCGGAGGCCCAATACAATGTAAGGGGTTGGGAGGTTTGATTTACATTGACAAACAATCTGCTGCGAGCAGAATAAGTAACTTTCAATTGTCGCTAATATACAAGTTGTTCACACGACGTACGTTTCGCCGTATGGTTCGTGACGGCTCATCAGGTGTGCAATTTGAAACTCGGATGTTGAGCCATAAATAAATGTAGAAGAGAATAGGACATAATTATGGATACGAGTTAAGAGTAACTCTCCATCACTGTAACATTATTATACAGTCAGAAAGTGCAATAACTAGGCACAAAACTGACAGAGTACTGAGACATTCGACGTTCTGACACCTAGCTTCAACACTTAGTTAGACCACTTTGTCAAATATCGTACTGGTCTCGTCATCGTCCAGTAACAATCGACATTCTTTGTTCCGTTGGGACTGTAGCTTTCGCTCGTTTTCGTTGCGCTTGCCTTCCCCTCTTTGGTCTTTCCCTAACCTTGAACCTTCCAAGTTGGAAGGCTGTCGGTTAGCGCTACGGAGATGTGTTGAAGCTAGGTGTCAGAACGTCGAATGTCTCAGTACTCTGTCAGTTCTGTGCCTAGTTATTGCACTTTCTGACTGTATAATATCATGTTACAGTGATGGAGAGTTACTCTTAACTCGTATCCATATGTCCTTTTCTCTTCTACAATATACATTAAGAT